AAACAGTAAACCCTCCTTAGAGTTAACTTAACTCTTAGTAACTTTATGAACATGTCCGTGTGATTGCTTTGAACACTACATTGCCTTTTGTTCACAATGCCTTTCTCCCAGTCTCCTAGCTTGTAGTTTTGGAATTTCCCAGGGCTTTTTCTTGAGGAGGGAAAGAGTCTTAACTTACTCAACTTTTTTTTTTCAGACCAACCTGAAAGAAAACTGACCAGTCTGATCTAAAGTTAACTAGATGCTGCCACCTAGCCTGACATAGCAAACATTACACAACATTAAATATACTCGCTGCGGGAGCATCGAGTCAAAAAGGAAGAATATTTCTCTAAGTCTAAAGTACAGATGTTTGACACCCAGGTGGTCAATTAGCTCTACAATACATCAAGTGTCCTATAAATGGATTTTGGAGATTCTAGCAGGGAACTGCAGTTTCTTGCACTCCCTTGATCTATCTGGGGTGATCTGACGTGACCTCCGAGGGTGTAGTTTCAGGAGGGACACACATGGAGTGGTGAAGGCAGGGGGAATCAGCCACTGAATTTGCCAGATCAGCCAAATCAATCCTTAAGATCAATAAAAAGGTAAAGGTTTCCCCTGTCCAGTTTCTAACTCCAGGGGTGTGGTGCTGATCTGTGCTTCCTCGCTGAGGGAGCCAGCGTTGTCCTGAGACACTTCCGTGGTTATTTGGCCGGCATGACTATACACCGAGGTGCGTGGGATGCTGTTACTTTTCCGCCAAAGTGGTACCTATTTATCTACTCGCATTTGCATGCTTTCGAACTGCTAGGTAGACAGGAGCCGGAGCAAGGAACGGGAGCTTACCCCATTGTGCAGCATACGGGTCTCAAACTCAGGCTGTCCAGCTTTCAGCATCTTTAACCGCTGAGCTACCACATCCCCTTAAGATCAATAGGGTGAGTTTACAGCCAGATCAGCCTCATGTCCTAGTTCACGTCTCTTTAATGTCCAGTCCTTCACTCTTTGAACAATTGGTGGTGCACACAGAAGCTTTTCTTTTTTAAAACAATTGTGGCTGTCTTACATTCTTTTGCTATGGGCTGTGTTAGCAAGAGTTAGTCAACAAAGTGAACAAAGGCTTAACCTTGGTGGCTTCTTGCCACTCTGCCATTCTAATTCCTTAGTTTGAAATTCAGATTAAAAATTGCGACTTTGGTGAAGCTTTGTAAGCTGAGTTGATTAACTTCAGGGCTAGCAGGTAGATTTGGGAAGCGGTGAAAACATCCTGAAATAAGACAACGTTAAACAATTTCTATACTGTTATCAAGAAAGCTGCATGAATATGTCCATATAGGCAACAAGAGTTGAGCTACTCTATTTGCAGTAAGGTTTAAAGAAGAAGAACTGTGTTATAGACCTCCAAATGCCTCTGTACAGGACAGAAGACCATTCTGAATATGTTAGGCCTGGAGAAAAGGGCTGGTGGTAGAGGAGAAATAGTCCAAAAATCAGATTCATGTTTGTCTATCAAAATAAACTTCTCTAAGAACAGAAGAATGTTATCAACATCACATTATCCCAAAGGTGCTTTTCCAAAAGGCAACTGGACTTTCTTGATTTTTTCCCCCCTTGAAAATATTTTGCTTCTCATCCAAGAAGCTTCTTCAGTTTTTCAAGAAAAAAAACCCCAAGAAAATCCAGTTGACATTTGAAAGAGTACTTATGGGACAATGGTGACCTGGATGAATGAGAACATCCACAGATGTTATTAAGATGTTATCTTTTATACCTACTAATCAATCAAACATTTTATAACAAGCCACAATTTCTATTGTGCTTCACAATTTCTTCATGTCCCTGAAATTTATTGCCAGAGAGGAAATGAGGAGCAAGCAGAGAATGGATTTGAATTTCATGCGTATCAGCTCTTCTTAACTTCCCAGCCCAGTTCTCCATTGTCTACACACTGATAAGATTGTTTTAACAACATTTAACATATATTTTCTGTCAGTCGATGGGGTCATAAATCAACCCAAACAGACTGCGCATGCCCCAGCTATCTCCTAAACAATATGTGGGCATAGACTATGTAAGCCAGGGCTATCCAACCTTGGCAACTTTATGACTGAAGGACTTCAATTCCCAGAATTCCTCAGCCAGCATAGCAATAGCACTTAGACGTATATCCTGCTTCACAGAGTTTTACAGCCCTCTAAGTAGTTTACAGAGTCAGCCTCTTGCTCTCAACAATCTGGGTTTTACCCACCTTGGAAGGATGGAAGGCTGAGTCAACCTTGAGCCTGGTGAGATTCGAACTGCCACATTGCAGGCAGCTGGCAGTCCGCAGAAGTAGCCTGCCATACTGCACTCTAACCACTGCGCCACCACGGATCATAGCTGACCTAGTGTCAGAATTCCAGCGATCGCCCTAATTAAATCATGAGCCTCGAGCCAAACTTCAAAAAACTTCAAAGGATTTATTCGGAGCGACTGCTGACGTGACCTGTATGAAGCCGACTCTGAGATACGTAATTTACATGACCCTGTTTCCCCATCCCCACCCCTCTGGGTGTATCATAATTCAGATTGTCCAACAGAACATGTTCATGGACTGGGTGTCCTCAATCACGCTCTCCAATAGAGGATTTTCGGCCCAAAATACCCGGTTGCCTCAGTTACAATCTTTGTGAGATAAGCTTGGAATGTGCTTCTGAGTTCATTTGCTGTATGCTCCTTCAGGTTTTCCCCCCCGTCTCCCTCTTTCTTATGGCAACTTGGAAACTGTCATAGGAATGTTTTATGATGCCTAGTGTAGCTGGCTGGGGAATTCTGGGAACTGAAGTCCACAAAGTTGGAGACCCCTCTGATGTAAGAGGTACCCTTCCTCCCACCTTTTCTGACCTTGAATGCACCGTGAAGGGAAGCGGATGACAGAATGACACAGACTTACATCCAGCGAAGGTTCCGGCATGTCAGATGTTCCCTGCCCACCAGGTGGAGCTTCTAAAGCGGCTGAGGGGTTAAAGGCCAGGTCGCTGTGAGGATGGTTGCTAGAAGCGGCCTGGGTCGGCTGCCGGGACGGCTGAGTCGGGGGACCACTGTGATGTAATGGCTGCCCTGACTGGCTGCTGGGATGAGGGACGTGCAAACCTTGAGGCATGGAGCTATGGGATTGATCAGTGTTGCCAGCATGAGGGATCTGCAGAAGGAGGAAAGAAGCAGGAGAGAGACATGAGGAGATGAGGTGGCAAGCCGGAAGATGGGGAGAGCATGGTGCGTGGGGAGGGGGGGGGAAGGGGAGGGATTGTTTCATAAACCATCATTGCTACAAGCCGTCATCATCCAGGAAAAAACCCGTTTGGGCGCTCGCCTGAACCCCCGGCATTCAAAACACAATTTTTAGAACAATGCTTGGAATAAGAAATGATGGTTCTATTGTCCAACCTGATGCCTTGAAAATTCTCTCTAATTGGGAAAGTTGAAATGTCTTTAGTTTTTCTAGTCCAAAAGATATTTTTTTTTTCAAGAGGCAACTGGACTTCATTTTTTCCTGGAAGGCGTTTCGCTTCTCATCGAAGAAGCTTCTTCAGTTCTCACCGAACTGAGTGAATCAGAGCTGAAGAAGCTTCTTGGGTGAGAAGCGAAACCCCTTCAAGGAAAAACGAAGTCCAGCTGCCTTTTGGAAATAGCATCTTTGGGACAACCATGACCTGGATGACTGAAAATCTCCATAAACATTTAATTTTTCTAGTATGTTAACTTCTAGTTAATTCTCTAATCTGTTGACTTCTTTAACTTTTCTGGTATGAATTCTAATAAACCGAGCATAACTTTCTGAGTTTTTCTTTGGGGCAAAATACTTTCCAACTAAACAAATATGCATCAGAGAATCAACTCTTGACAGTTTAGTTGCATGGTGCAAGGAACAAAAAGAAATGAGAAAATTAGTATTTCACTCATTTTTTTAAAAAATCCCTCCAACTGTTCTTACTATTCTGCATATAGGCATACTCTCTCTCTCTCTCTCTCTCTCTCTCTCTCTCTCTCTCTGTGTGTGTGTGTGTGTGTTGATGGACTCTCTTTTTACACAGGTCTTCCTTCATTGCTGACCATGACTGAAGAATAACCAAATTGAAAGAGACCCTGAAGGTCTCCTAGTCCAACTCCCTTTCAAGCAGGAAATTCTGTACTATTTCAGACAAATTGCTGTCCAGCCTATTAAAAGCCTTCAGCGATGGAGCACCCACAACTTCTGGAGTCAAGTTGTTCCACTGGCCAATTGTCCTCACCATCAGGAAATTTCTCCTTAGTTTTAGGTTGCTTCTCTCCTTGGTTAGCTTCTAACCATTGTTTCTTGTCCAGCCTTCAGGGGATTTGGAGAATAGCTCGACTCCTTCTTCTTTGTGGCAGCCCTTCAAATATTGGAAGACAGCTATCATGTCTCCCCTAGTCCTTCTTTTCATTAAGCTAGACATACCCAATTCCTTCAAACCATTCTTCAGATGTTTTGTTGCTCTTTACTGCACTCTTTCCAGAGCCTCAACCTCTTGTTTATATTGGGGTGACCAAAACTGGGCGCAGAATTCCAAATGTGGCCTTACCAAGGTTTTATATGTATGAAAATTATATGTATGAATTAAAAAAGGGGGTGTCTTTTAAACTCATCTGTATATATAGTTGCAAACCCCACACACAAACATAAGGACACAAAAGGAAGTGCACAAACTTCATAGAACATATAGACTTCCCCTATATCGTATATGAACTGTTTTCATGTATGTAGTCACAGCACACCATATTCCAGCCAGCTGAATTTTCTTCAACTTTAGACATCTAGAAGGAAATCATTTGTGCTCTCATTTAAACGGGCGTTCTACTCTTTGAAGACCAATGTAGTTTTTCTTTCCTTTTAAAATCATGGTACTCAGTAGCTGCCATTCAACCTTCCTCATTTACTCATTGAGGCAGATTCCAGGCAAATTAAGAGCACATCCCTAAAACCTAAAACATCCTGTACTGCCAACATGGCCATCGTAATATAAAACAAACCATCATGATTGACACAACATTATTCAGGGGACTCCAGAAAATATATGGGCCTTCTCCCACTGCTAAACTGGGTGTTCATCCTCCCATCCTCCTGCTCCAGTTGGCAGGAATCTTCATCCCCAATATCTTTTCTGCATCTCTTAGCAGTGCCTGACCTGATTTCTTTCAAAGATAATGACTAACCAAACTTAAGTTGATTGAGGTTGCCCTTGGTTGGGTTAGAAGAACAGAGAACATACCCCTTTTGATGGTGGTCGAGATCAAAGGGCCAGATGAAGACAACACCATGAAGAGAAGTTGGCAAAGAGATGTTATTGGGACATGTTTGTGCCTTGTTGAGATGCAAGTCAGTGACGACCTTGTAAAGCCACAAGGTGGCTGAGGTGGAACTTCTGTCTTCTACAAATGCCCAAGCCCACCTCCCTGCCCCAAATGTTCAAGGCGATATGCTAACATTTGCAATTGGATCTTCAGACAGCACAAAGATGAACCAGGACATCTCCTTCATTTGAGATGGGGGACAGGAAAACAATGAGCCAAGCCAAAGTTTGCAAAATTGGCATTTTACGTTTGTAAAGAAATAAGAGTAACTTTGCATGTTTTTCTGTTTTGAAAAGTAGGGAGGGTGGGGTGGGTAGAGATTCCTGTTATTTTCTTTCCTATCTGGTTTGCAGAATAAGGGAAATGAATATTTCCCCTTCTATTGCCAGAAGGAAGGAAAGGAAAGGGAGGAAGGAAGGAGAGGGAGGGATGGGGAGGAAGGAAAGGGGGGAGGGAGGGAGGGAGGGAGGAAGGAGGAAGATGGGAGGGAGGAAGGAAAGGAAGGGAAGGGAAGGGAGGGAGGGAAGGAAGGAAAGGGGAAGAGAGGAAGGAGAAGAAAGTGGGAGGGAGGAAGGAAAGGAAAGGGAGGAGAGGAAGCAAGGAGAGGGAGGGATGGGGAGGAAGGAAAGGGGGAGGAGAGAGGGAGGAAAGAAGGAAGGAGGAACATGGGAGGGAGGGAAGGAGGGGAAGGAAGGAGAGGAAAGAAAAGTGGGAGGGAGGGAGGAAGGAAAGGAAAGGAGGGGAAGAAAGAAGGAAGGGGAGAGAGGAAAGAAAGGGAGGGGAAGGAGGGAGGGAGGAAGCAAGTTGCCCCCATTTCTTAGTACCTAGTTAATCTCAGTCCTTATAGCGTGAAATAAAGCTGAATATCGGCTCAATTTCAATTTTTTTTTTTGCAGACGGTGCTATTTTCCAGCCTCAGAATCAATTGCATTAAGGCATGCACTGCAGACTGCTTCACCTTCCCGTAGCCAAGATACATTAAACATGATTTATGAAAAGGCTAAAAGTAATGGCTTCTGGGAGAGACCTCATATGGGGAAGTGGATCTTAAATAATCACGAGCCAGGGCAGGCTTTCCCTCTTTTAAAGAGGTTAAGTGTAGTTTCCTTTCGAAAAAGGATTTACCTCTTTCTGGGTTTCTGGATGCGTGCATGGCAGCTGAACGTTAAGCTTGTAATGTTCTATCAAGAGAATCTGAAAATAAGCAACCTCCAAATGGATTTTTTTTTTGTGGGGGGGGGGGGGGGGCTCATTTATTTCAGAAACAAAATTAATTCCATGCACAAAATGCATCCGTATTAAAAAAAGTAATCCTGCCTTTAGATTTGATAACTGGTTTGGGCAACAGGAACTGCAACAAGTAGGGATATGCCAAACTCTCCAGTTTGAGGTGGAGAAACTTCTGGAGAACTTTGGCTCTTCCAAAAAGTCAACTGGAATTTCTTGGGTGGTTGTTTTTTTTTCCTGGAAAACATTTCACTTTGGACACATCTGCTGTTTCCAGAGGAAAATTCTCCAAACCCAAAGGGGTTTGAAAGTATCTGAGGCATGATTTGGCATTCTAGACTTATTTCAAGGGCGATGCCACGAAACCCCCCTAGGAATGCCAGGGTCTAGAAAAGAGTTAGCATGGCACGGAGGAAGAATGGAAAAAGAAGGTCTCAAGATACGACTTTGGGTGTGAGAAGTTGTTGGGTCTCATGCGTGTGGCCAGAACCTAAGTGGAATGAGTTCAGCCAAAGAGTGTGAGATGTATCGGCCCCAAGAATTTAAATGAAACACGCAACTCCACTCTGTTTATTCCTTAAACTGATTTAAGGAAAGGGGGAAGTAGAATTCTTGTTTTATAGCAATACGTCCCACTCCAGATGACTCCATTTAGGAAATCAGTGGAACAAAATGAATGCAACTATAGGTGGGTTTAGGGACCATTCAACGGCACTGAAAAAAATGTCTGTTTTTCACACTGCTATTGCAACATCCCCATTGTCACATGATCAAAATTCAGACAACTGGCCACTGGCTCATATTTATGACAGTTGCAGTGTTTCAGGGTCTTTTGTCTGAAATGGAGGTCTTGGAGATCACCTAGTCCAACCCCCTGCTCAATTGAGATTGAGATTGGCTGTCCAATCTCTTCTTCAAAACCTCCAGTGATGGAGTGCCCACAACTTTTGAAGGCAAACCGTTCCACTGATCAATAGTTCTATTTTCAATGGTCATAAGTGCAAGGGTGGGTTGTAACTCACCTTTTTCAGTGCCGTTCAAACTTTTAACAGTCACTAAACAGATGGCTGTAAGCCGGGAACTACCTGAACATGTTGGGGACATGGAAAGGCAAATAGCATTTCCCCCCCCGAATCCTACTTTTCTATTCAGCGAGATGCTTTGCGATGATTGTAATCCCAAAATACCCCCGTGAGTTTTCGTTGCGCCTCTGTAGCACTTGGAAAATAAAAAATAAAGTTGATAATGTGCCAGGGAAAAATAGGAAATATGGAATCTGTTGTCCGTGTATTGTTTTGTTCATGGCTAGAAAGACACGGACATCTTGGTTATTACTCCCCAAGGACTGTTGAGGAAGATCAACAATTATCTTTTATCAGAAGTGAGTGGCGTCGTAACCTTAAATATGGGAGCATTTTGGCAAATCGTGTACAAGGTCCAATAGAAGGCAGTTTTATGTATCTGAGGAACAGATATTTCAACACCATTTTATTAATATCTTCAGAATATTTTTTTTCCCTACCTTAACAGGAATTGTCTGAAATGGATATAGCATCTTGGGCAATATGTTCATTTTAATCGCTGCTACTCTTCCAGTTAGTGAAAGTTGCAAATTGCCCCATTTTTCTATCTCTGTTTTAATCTGCTGTTTCAGTTTGTAATAGTTATCTTCTTTGATTGTTCCACATCTTGCTGTCAACTGTATTCCTAAGTATTTAACTTTTTAAACTATCTGAATATCTATGTTTTTGTCAGTTCTTTTTTCTGTTTCTCTGTCATATTTTTCACCAATATTTTTGTTGTCCCTTTATTTATTTCTAATGCAGCCATTTCCTCATATTCCTCTATCCTTGTTATCAACTTTGGCCCTGTTTTTAAAGGTTCTTCTAATATAAAAACCAAATAATCTGCAAACGCTTGTAGCTGAGGAACAGATGAGGACTGTAGCAGTGGTGGTGTGCTACCAGTTCAGCCCGGTTGCTACCGGTTCAGCTGAACTGGTAGCGAAAAAAGCCTCCGACGATCAGCTGAGAGGAGGGAAAAAAGCGGGATCAGTTCAGAGGAGAAAGAAGGGAAAAGCGAAGGATCAGCCCTCTCACCCACCTCTGTACTTTTCTCTTCTTTATCCTCCCAGATAATTGGCGCTGCAGGCCTCAGCTGGTGTGGGGGAAGCTGTGCACGTGCTTTAGGTGTGCACATGTTGCGCACATGTGTGCGCACTATCACCAAACTAGTAGTGGAACAGGAAGGATCCCACTGCTGGACTGTAGGCAGTACAGCGACTGCAGTCCCTGAAACCACTTGAATCGTGTCCTTGTATCAATTTTGATCTTCTTATGTGGCTTCAAGCAGGCGAAGTTAAATATCCCCTCATGTAATAAAAGCTGGATTGAAAGGACCTTCATTTCACATACTTTGGATGTGAGCAGGCGAAACTGACCATTTGGGAAGGTCACCAAGAAGGCACTGAGACCACTGGGGAGTGGCTGTACCGAGTCATAACAATGGCCCTTAAGACTTATATATATACTGCTTCACAGTGCTTTTACAGCTGTCTCTCAGAAGTTGACAGAGTTGGCATATTGGCCCCCAACAATCTGGGTCCTCTTTTTACCCACCTCGGAAGCAGTGTTGTGTTTCAAAAAGTTTTTCCCTACTGGTTTGGAGCTTGCTTCGTGCGTGCATGCTCAGTGCTCAAACTCCACCCTCTGAATCAAGGCTGGTGAGCTGTGCAGGTACGTGGCTATCATGCGCACATGCCAAACTCACAAATCGCATGTGTGCAGGGCTCAGAGATGGCCCCAGCTGAGCTAATAAACAGCAGAATATAGGAGAGGTGAGAGGTAAGAGCAGGGGCAGGTGGGCGGAGCCAGTCAAAATTTTCCCTACCGGTCCACAAGGACCGGTCAGAACCGGCTGAATACCACCTCTGCTCAGAAGGATGGAAGGCTGAGTCAACCTTGAGCCGGTCAGGATCAAACTCCAGGCAGCAGGCATTCTAACCACTGCGCCACCAAGGTTCCAGTTATGACATTTGGCGTTGTCATAAATGGCAGAGAAAACGTAAGAAAATGCTTCCCCTAGTCTGTTTACTAGTCTGTGAGGCACTATTTGAATCTTGGGAGAAGAAAAAGATATTTCCTTCCTAGTTCCTACATAGCATATTGTGTCATATTTTGACACAATGAACAACATGGCCAAATGGCCTTTTCAATATACCTGTAAGATATACCTACCTACCTATCTATGTCTCTATGTCTCTATGTCTCTATGTCTCTATGTCTCTATCTATCTATCTATCTATCTATCTATCTATCTATCTATCTATCTATCTATCTATCTATCTATCTATCT